GATACAGAAGGATTTACTTCTGCCATTTATCTGTTCATTGTCTGCATGTCTTACATATATATATTTTGTTCTTCACTTCCTTTGTTACTGCCTTTTTATATTTAGTTGAGTTTTTGTAGTATACCATTTGTATTTCCCTTTTTTTTTCCTTTTCTGTATATTTTTTAGTCGTTGTCTTAGTGGTTAACTTGGAGACAACAATTAACATCTTAAACCTGTAATGTCTTAGTTTGAATACAAACTTAATTTCAGTACTATACATTCTATTCCTATGTATCTCCATCCTTCCCCTTTTATATTGTTATTGTCATAGGTTACAAATTCATCTATTGTGTGCCTATTAACATAGACATCATTATTTTATGCATTTGTCATCAAAAAAAAGAGACGAGAAAGAAGAGTTACAAGTCAAAAGTACAATAATACTGGCTTTTATATTTACCTTTACTAGTGTTCTTTATTTCTTCATCTGGCTTCAAGTTACTGATTAGTGTCCTGTCATTTCAGCCTGAAGGACGATAGTATGTCTTAGCGTGGATATCTGAGTTTTTCCTGCTTGGAGTTTATTAAGTTTCTTGGATGTGTTGATTCATATCTTTTATCAGATTTGGGAAGTTTTGGGCCATTATTTATTCAAAATCTTTTCTTCTCCCTTTTTTCTCTGGAAACTTCTTCTTCCAGAACTTCCATAATGTGTAAGCTGGCCAGCTTGATGGCATCCTATAGGTCTTAGATTCCGTTCACTTTTCTTTACCCTTTTTCTTTCTGTTCCTCAGATTGAATTATTTCAATTGCTCTGTCTTCAGGTTTACTGATTTTTTCTTCTGCCTGATCAAATCTGCTGTTGAACCCTTTAGTGAATTTTTTATTCCAAATATTGTATTTTTCAGCTCCAGACTTCTTGTTTTTTTTAAAAAAAATAATTTCTATCTCTACTGATACTGTAATTTTATTCATACATTGCTTTTCTTGTTTCTGATACTCTAATTTTGTTCATACATTGCTTTTCTTGTTTCTCTTCATTTTGTCCATGGCTTCCTTTAGCTTTTTGAGTGTGTATAGGACAGTTGATTTAATGTATTTGTGTAGTAAGTTTGATGCCTGGGCTTCTGTAGGAAGAGTTTCTATATTTTTTTCTTTGAAAGAGTGATACTTTAATCAGGCCAGGCGCAGTGGCTCACACTTGTAATCCCAGCACTTCGGAAGGCCAAGGTGGGAGGATCATAAGGTCTGGAGTTCGAGGTCAGCTGGCCAATATGGTGAAACCCCATCTCTACTAATAATACAAAAATTATCAGGACGTGGTGGCACGTGCCCGTAGTCCTGGCTACTTGGGAGGCTGAGGCAGGAGAATTGCTTGAACCTGGGAGGTGGAGGTTGCAGTGAGCCAAGATTGTGCCATTGCACTCCAGCCTGGCGACGGAGTGAGACTCTGTCTCAAAAAAAAAAAAAAAAAAAAAAAGAAGGAGTCATACTTTAATTTATTTGTACTATTTGTATTTTATCATTATTGAAAACTGGACATGTGGATACTGTCATGTAGGAATTTTGGAAATCAAACTTTTCTCTACGTTTGCTGTTTTTGATTGTTGAAGGTGTAACTTGTGATCAGCCAGTGTTTTGACAGATTTCCTTGAATCCCAAGATCTAAATACAAACAAAAACAAAACAAAAAATCTTTTCTGCCAATCTTTGCAGATGGCTCTGTGCTGAGGCATTCTTTTAACACTTAAGCAGGCCATTTATACTTCTGTCTCAGCCTTTACTTCCTGCTTATATTGAACCTATAGATCAGTCAGTGGTGAAAGCATAGGGTCTTCTCTGGCCAACTTTAAGCATACATCCTGTCCTGGGCATACATGTGGCTTTCTGAATTCCCCAGTACACGCAAGTACTTTTGAATGCTCTAATTTCCCAAAGAAACTCTCCAGCTTTTCCTCTCAGGCTTTAGGTGGTCTATTGTATGTCTGAACCATAATGCTTTGCCCTAAACAGTTCTGGGGTTTTGATAACCTTACAGCGTTTTTGAATAATGCTTTTCCACCTTGTGTAGTTTTCAGTGCTTTTCCATACTTAGGAGAAATGGAGACGAGTGCCTTGCACAAGTCTTTCAGGCAGTCCTAGACAGGTTAGAACAAACACAATAATTTGAGAATAAAGTCTGCTCTGCTTCCTGCAGAATCAGGGATCAGTGTGCCACACTGGAAATCCAGGCTGCCACCTTCAAGACTGCTGCTGAACTGGGTATGGCGTGGGGCAAGAGCAAGCAAAAATGCCACAAAGCTTTCCTGCTGATTTAGAATTGCCTTTTCTGGATTCAGCATTCTCTTGGTTACTGTAAACCTTTTCTTCCCAACCTTCTAACAAGTTGGTTCTGACAGTTTCAGTTTCTGGTGTTTTTTTTTTTTTTTAAGTTTCTCTGGAGGGTTAGGAGTTTAGAGTTACCTGCTCTGTCATTTTGCTGACATCTAGACTTTACCTCTTGATCTGAGGAGCATTATACTCAAAGAAAGATGAAAGGAAATAGCAGCTTCTACCTTGGAGACTCTTTATTACGTGTAAATTTAAGACTTTAGATAAATATCCCCAAATTGCCTTCCAAAAAGTTTACAATTTTATAAGTGATATGTAAGACTACTGTTTCTTCACATATTCACCAACACAATACTAATTTGGTTTTTGCTATTTTGATGGGGAGAAAAATTTCTCAATTTTAATTTTAATCTACATTGTAAATTGTGTAGTGAAACATGTTTGAACATATTTATTAATAATTTGGAAGTTCCTTTTGAGAATTACCTGCTCATAATGGCACATTCATCTTTTATACCTGAGAGTTCTTGAGTTTTTAAAAAACTTTGCACTTAGTCCTTTTCCAAAAATAATTTGATAATGTTTACCGTAAATGACATATACAAAATAAAAGTGATAATCTAGAAATAGTCAAAAGCTCAAAACCATGGAAAAGGAAGACAGCATTAAATAGAGCTCTCATGAATAAGCATCAAATCTGAGCTATCCAACAAAAAGGGAAGCCTTCTAAGTTATATAATTTTAATCATAAAGGAAGAAGTACATGAGTCACAAAAAGAGACCACATTTATTTCTGGCATTAAATTCTAAAACAGATTTTTCATTTGGGCTCTTACATAGAATAATACAGAGTGACGGTGTAGTGGTATTCTTAATGATAGTTTTACAACAAATGCAGAAGCAATTTTTTTTTTTTTTTTTTTTTTTAGCCAGAGTCTCACTCTGTCACCCAGGCTGGAGTGCAGTGGTAACGATCTCAGCTCACTGCATCCTCCACCTCCCAGGTTCAAGCAATTCTCCTGCCTCAGCCTCTTGAGTAGCTGGGAACACAGGCATGCACCACCATGCCCAGCTAAGTTTTGTATTTTTTTTTTGTTAGTAGAGATGGCCATGTTGGCCATGCTGGTCTCAAACTCCTAACCTTGTGATCCGCCCACCTCAGCCTCCCAAAGTGCTGGGATTACAGGCGTGAGCTACCATAGCCGGACGCAGAAGCAATTTTTATGACTTTTTATGTCTGAAACTTTTTATACATTTATAGTTCATAAAGTACTCTATATAGTACTTTAAAAACTGGTTTATCAATGTTTAAATATTCTTGGACTTTTTAAATGAGAAACAGTTATTAGCAATCAATTTTTTCTTTGGCTGCAGGGAATTGGAGGCATTTCTTCTCCAAACTGGCCCAAATGATAATATTATAGGGCAAAAGCTAATTAGAATGGCAACAATAGAAAGTTGTACTTAGGCTGGGCATGGTGGCTCACACCTGTAATCCCAGCACTTTGGGAGGCTGAGGCAGGAGGATTGCTTGACCTCAGAGGTTTGAGAGCAGCCTGGGCAACATAGCAAGACCTCGTCTCTATTAAAAATAAAAAAATTAGTTGGGTGTGGTAGCGCACACCTGTAGTCTGAGCTACCTGGGGGTGGGGGTGGGGAGCTGAGGCAAGAGGATTGCTTGAGCCTGGAGATCCAGGCTGCAGTGAACTGTGATTGTGGCACTGTACTCCAGTCTGGGCAACAGAGCAAGACCCTGTTTAAAAAAATAAAAAATAAAGAAAGAAGAAAGAAAATTGTACTCAATACTCCTAAAAGATTATTTGCCTTTGATTGTAGGATGATACTAAATCTATGTCACTGTATAAGAATATACCTAAATTTAAAGTAGTCTTCAACATATGTAAAGAAGCTCAATTACTTCCATAATAAAATAAATGCAAATTAAAACTATGCTGAAGTACCTTGTTTTTTCATTGTTGAAGATCAAAAAGGCTTGATCATTTCTTGTCTTGTTGAGGATGTTTGGAAACAGGTTCCCTCATATAAACTGATGCGAATATAAATTGGTAAAACTCCAGTGGAGGGCAATTTGGTAATAGCTATCTAACTACAGATTCATGGATTTTTAACTCTTTGATCAGGTAATTCACTTCCAATAAATGATGTTATCAAGGTCATCAATGACCACCACATTATTAAATCCGGTGGTCTGTTCTTGGGGTCGTTTTGACCGTCATCAACATTTAACTACCCAATCCTCCTTGCGGAACTTTCTTCACTTGGTTGTGAGGACACTATACTCTCCTGGCTTTACTCCTCCCTCCCTGGCCTTCTTTATCTCTCCACATCTAAATGTTGGGGTCCCCCAGAACTCAGTGCTTGAACACCTTTTCTATCTATTCTTCCTTTGTTTCTGTCTAGTCTTGTGGCTTTAAATGTCATCTCTATGCTCTTGGCTCCCACATTTATATTTCAAGCTGAACCTCTCCTAACTGTAACATACTCTCTGGTCAGAGCCATAGTAGTCCCTCATCTGGTTTCCTTACATCTACCATTCCATCCTTCAATTTCTTCTTTTTTATTTTCTAATAATAGCTTTATTGAGATATTATTCACATACCATATACTTCTCTACTGCCAACACCTTTTCTTTCATTTTGTTCACCCATTTAAAGTATCCAATTCTAATCCCTTTGTAGTTCATAAGTGTAATAACTGGCTGTTCATGCTCATGCATGAGCTCTGCCTCCCTCAAGCCTTGTTATGACATCGTCATATTACCTGTCTGATGTGAACTTAGAAAAATAAAAATAAGGCTGGGTGTGGTGGCTCACGCCTGTAATCTCAGCACTTTGGGAGGCCGAGGCAGGCGGATCACCTGAGGTCAGGAGTTCAAGACCAGCCTGGCCAACATGGTGAAACCCTGTCTTTAAAAAAAAAAAATAAAATAAAAAATAAATAAATAAAAATAAAATATTGTATATAATTCGGTGACTTTTAGTATACTCACAGAATTGTGTAGCCATCCCATAATCAACTTTATAAATATTATAATTATCCCCAAAATTGAAATCCCATGTACATTAGCAGTCATTCTCCTTTTCCTCTCAACCATTGTGCCAACTCTTCCGCCTTGAACCCCCAAGCCTAAGCAGCCATTTATCTCCTTTTTTTTCCATAGATTTGCCAACTCTGGAATCATAGAACATGTGGTGACTGGCTTCTTTCATTTAATGTAATGTTGTTAAGGTTTAGTCATATTGCAGTATATATTGATACTTAATTTCCTTATTGCCAAATAACATTTCATTGTCAAAGCAGGAACGAGAGAGAGACAGCAGGGAGGGAGTTGGGGTAGGTACCACATACTTTAAAATGACCAGTTCTTGCAAGCGCTTAGTCACTATCATGAAGACAGCACCAAGCCATGAGGGATCCACCTCCATTATCCAAACACCTCCTACCAGGCCTCACCTCCAACGTTGGGAATTATAATTCAACATGAGATTTGGATGGGGACAAATATCCAAACTATGTCACCTGCTTCCTCACTTCCCTCAGGTCCTTACTCAAATGTTGTCATCTCAGCAAGGCCTTCCTGGTGAAATATGTTCCTGCATTCCACCACCCTCAATCCTTAACAGAGCCTGTCTGCCTTCTTGCATTATTTTTCTCCATGGGACATATTACTAGAATATTTATCTTGTTTATTTATCTCATTTGTTGTCTTTCTTTGCTCACTAGAATGTAAGCTCTATAAGGGTAGAAGTTTTTGTCTATTTTCTTTAATGCTCTATTCCCAAACCTAGAAAACTACCTGATGGACAATAAGCACTCAGTATCTATTTTTTTTGTTTGTTTGTTTTTGGGAGACAGAGTCTTGCTCTGTGACCTAGGCAACTATCTTGGCTCACTGCAACCTCCACCTCCTGTGTTCATGCAATTCTCATGCCTCAGCCTCCTTGAACTACAGGTGCGCACCACTGCACCCAGCTAATTTTTGTATTTTAATAGATACAGGATTTCACTATGTTGCCCAGGCTGGTTTGGAACTCCTAATCTGAGGCAGCCTCAGCCTCAGCCTCCCAAAGTGCTAGGATTACAGGAATGAGCTACCATGCCCAGCCTCTCAGTATCTATTTTGAATGAATAAATAACATTGCCTCTGGAGAGGAAACTAGGAGGCTGGGCAATAAAGTTGAAATGAAATATTTTGCTATACAGTTTCATACCTTCTAAATTTTGAATAATATACATAGATTACCTATTTAAATAAATAGAGTTAAAATTAGTAATTGTGAACAGAGTTATCATTACATAGAACCTAGGAAGAAAAATAGATTTTGTGAGTGTGATTGTGAACTTCAAGGTAGTGCAATATATTTAGCAAGTACCTAAACTAAAAGGGATCTATAACTTAATTCCTTCTAGGTTCTTGTAAGGGCTTCTGAAAATAGAAGGTAGAGGTTTTAGCATAAGTAGTTTAAGAGTGACAAAATGTGTTTTTTTACTCACTTTAAGGTTTGATAACATTATTGTAATTTAATGCAGTCCTACAAATTATGCCAAGAATACACTTTTATTGTAGCTGGGGAGGAAAAAAGAGTTTTTGCTTGCCTTTCACCTGGATTTCCAAATCATTCTATTTTTAGAGATGTTATAAAGTGCCTCTAAAATGATGACAACCATTTATTTCAAAAACCCAATCAGTGGGCTGGGTGAGGTGGCTCATACCTATAATCCCAGCACTTTGGGAGGCCAACATGGGTGGATCACTTGAGGTCAGTTCAAGACCAGCCTGGCCAACATGGTGAAACCCTGTCTCTACTAAAAATACACAAATTAGCTGGGCATGGTGGCATGTGCTTGTAATCCCAGCTACTTGGGATGCTGAGGCAGGAGAATTGCTTGAAACTGGGAAGCGGAGGTTGTAGTGAGCTGAGATCATGCCACTGTGCTCCAGCCTGGCAACAGAGTGAGACTCCATGTAAAAAAACAAAACAAACAAAAAAAAAAACCCAGTCAAACAGCCCTTGTATACTACAGTTTAAAAAAATATGTAAGGATAAAGCCAGGGCTCAAATTAGCCAAAAATACAACTTAGATACTCCCTAAGTAGCTGCTTTCTGACTCCCTCCTGTATGGTCCATAGCCATATACTGTGCTGTGGTTCACATCTAGGGTTTTACATGAGAGAATAGCACAGTGCTCAAGTGTAGTAGGGGAACAGACCTTAGATATCCCCCACCCAGACACTTTGAGGGTAAGAAAATGTAAATCTGTAGATAAAAATTTTTTGCTTTTTATTCTTTTCTGATACAGGGTTAAAGAAATGATTCCTCCAAGGCCTCCTCTTATCCGTCGGACAGGAGGAGCTCAGAAGGCAAGTGCCAGAGCCAAGATGAAATGATAAGTAATACTATATTAAGTACATGCACTTGATTATTGCATGGACTCTTTAATATGTCCTCTAGAAGGGGTGAAAACTTGTTTGCAGCTTTACATATTTTCATTGCTGGTTCTATTTGTGATCAATGACATATAGTATACAATGTTTTATCTCTGGCTGGTGGTCTCTCAGCTGGGAAGAAAAGGGCATTTTACATTCAGAGTATTACTGGGTGTGGTGGCACGCACCTGTAGTCTCAACTACTAGGGAGGTTGAGGCAGGAGGGCAGCTTGAGGCCAGGAGTTCAAGGGGGAAGTAAGCTATGATCACACCACTGCACTCCAGCCTGGGCAACAGAGTCAGACCTAGTCTCTAAAACAAACAAACAAACAAAGTAGTATTGAACATAAACCAAATCTCAGTTTTAGACTTCCAATCCATGGTCTTGACCTCTTTGAGGCCTCCACCAGATGTTTTGTATTTTCTTAGGCAGTGAGTGACTACCACATACAGATCAAGAATATTTCTAGAGCCATTCTAGATGAATACTACAGAATGTTTGGAAAACAGGTGGCCACACTGGAGAGTGATATGGATAGTGAAACCTTGGAGGAGCAGAAGTGCCAGCTGAGCTATGAACTTAATTGCTCTGGAAAATACTTTGCTTTCAAAGAACAACTCAAGGTAAATCATTCACTTGTTTAATTATTCCACAGGTTTGTATGGAGCACCTTCTCCGTATACCCAGTTAACATTTTCTCCTCTGATTATGTTCAGCTATACTCCCACCTTTCTTGGTTGGGGCAAAGAGCTAAGTTCTCTATGATAGAGTGTCAGGAGAAGCTCCATTCCTGCAGTCTTGGAATAACTTATTACGTATATTCTGAATGAAAGCTTTTAAGAAACTAATTATTCACTTGAGGCTGGGCCAGATTTTGGACCAGATTTCATTGTCACTATAGGAGGCAGAAACTGTGGTACTGACTCCATAATTAATTCTCCTTGCCTCTCATTCAAATCTCTCTCTAAAAAAATTATTTTTAGATTTTAACTTGAAGATGAAACAGTTATCAGGAAGGAGGACTTAATCATTAGGACTAGAATAGCATGTCTTGAGTTAGGATACATTTATCTACTGGCATTACATTTCACTTTTTAAAATTCAGAACGTATAAACAAAAACAAAAAACTCCATTCCCAGGCATCGGAGAAATGAAAATTAAAAAAAAAAATAACTCCATATCTCTCCATAAGCTATAGAATCACTAAAGTTTGAGACATAGTTAATTTAATAATCATTTCTTGAATAATAACGGCTAACATTTATTACATGTTTGCTGTTTGCCAGGCAAATTTGCCAATGCTTCATCTTTTACTAATGTAATCCTTATAACAATCCTATAAAGTAGGTGTTCCTCATTTTATAGATGGGAAAATATAATATTAGTTGACTAAGGAATTTGTCCAAAGTCACAGAGATAGTAAAGATCAGTGTTGAGATTTAAATTCAGGCAGTCAGCTCTAGAACTCACATTCTTAACTGCTACACTACACTGCCTTTGTACACACATTTATTGTGTGTCCTGTACTGTAAACAGATATAAAGAAAGAACATGGAAGTCATAGAGCAAAAAAACAACAAATGTTCATGGAAGCAAGAGGGCATTTTCAGCAGGTGATGCAGTCATGTCTCAGTTTGAGTCTTGGTTCTACATTTACTAGTTAGGTGACCTTGAAATGTGACTTTACCTCTCTGTGCCTCAGTTTCTTTACTTAACACAGGGATAAGGTTAATATTACCACATAGGGTCATTATAAGAATTAAATAATACAATGTAAACCAGGCAATAATGTTACCCTAGTGGGGAAAAAAGAAGAAGCTGTCCTGACCAGAGCAACATGCTATGTTTATATTTGTGCAGCATTTTAAACTTCTGTACTTGTTATTTCTCTTTGGCTTCTCAATCATCTTCTGAAGTAAAATAATAATACCAGAACTACATATCCTCTTAACAAATGAGGAAGCTGAGGTACCAAAATGTAAAATAATTTATGAGGTTGTATAGTGGCAGCCTTAGAACCAGAATTTCATTCTCTGGACTCTCAGCCCAGGCCTTTCTTTCTCCCTTTGAGCTTTGAACCATATGGCCGCCATGAGAGACATAACGCCTAAACCTAATGCTCAAATTTTCTTCAGCTTTATGATTCTCTTCATATAGTATGAGCTCTGTGTTGCTTCAATTAGTGATGTTGGTGATATCAAGGAAAGAAGAAATCATCTAGAGTATGTTGACTGGGGGAAAATTGGAGCGCCTATAGTCAACCAGCCACCAAAGGAGAAACCGATCACCTTCTGAAACTTTGATCAGCCTTAGACCAGAAAGCCCTAGAGAGACCTGTGC